GGTAAAAAGGAAAAAGCAAAGTCCAAAACCGTGTGTATGGTGTACTTCCCTTTGGGTAAAAGACGGACTCACATGCCTACCATGCTTGTTTGTGTTTATGTAGGTGACCCACCGGTGGGAAGGCCACAGGGGACTGTGGACTCCGCTTGTCTCCGGGTGGTGGGGGACAGAGGAGAGAGGGGACCTGCCTACCACTTTCCCCTTGGCTGCTCTGACTGCGGAACCGTGTGGTGGTGTTACTACCGTGGAAACAAAGTCCGGTTGCTGAGGAGCTAGGGGCTGAAATATGGTTCAGGGCAGTGATGTTTGCCCTGCAGATGTCGGCCTTGATGAGATCAAGTTGGGTTCAAGAACGGGGAGAGCCGATGGTTGTAAATTTTCTCCTAAATAGAAGCGCGTGGATTGTTATGGTAAGCTTCTCCCAAATGGGACGTAAGCCCCAAGGGGGAGAAACAACTCAGTAGACTAGCGAGAAGGGAGTTTTCCACCTTTTGTGAACAGGGTCACTGGGTCCTGGGGCGAAGGGAGGCAGAGCTGAGACAGTCGTCATCTGTTCCCACCTGTGTGGTCACATCACATCCAAAAGAATTTTCTGTGCTTGGCTAATTAAATCAGACTCTTAATGAATTGTCTGGAGGGTGTGTGGCAGCGTGTGTGTGGACTGTCCCACCCACTGGGAACAGACCGATGGGCTGCACCAATCTCTTCCGAAGGAAGGAAGGAAGACCAAGCTTACACAGGGAGGCAGAGGCCAGGGCATGCTCTCGGGGGGGGGGGGGGGGGGGGGGGGGGGGGGGGGGGGGGGGGGGAGGGGCAGGAGGGGCCGTGCCCCACAGGAGGGAGTGGTGATGACATTTGGAGACTCACTGGTCCCCAATGCAATTTTGTTTTTTTATCCTCACCCGAGGATATTTTTCCATTTTTTTTGTACAGATAGAGTGGGAGGGAGAGAGAGAGAGAGAGAGAAACATCGATGTGAAAGGGACACATCGAGTGGCTGCCACCCGCACCACCCAACCAGGGCCGGGGACAAACTGCAATCGAGGTACGTGCCCTTAGCGGGAACCGAACCCGGGTCTCTCCGGACCGCAGGCCGACGCTCTAACCGCTGAGCCAAACCGGCCAGGGCCAATTTTTTTTTTTAATCCTTCACCTGAGGATATTTTTCCATTTCTCTTCAGATAGAGTGGGAGGGGGGAGAGAGAGAAACATCAATATGAGAGAGACACATTCACTGGCTGCCTCCTGCACGACCCCAACCAGGGCTGGGGTACTGCAACCGAAGAACATGCCCTCGACTGGAATCGAACCTGCAACTCTCTGGTCAGAAAACTCTTTTGGATGCGACGTGACCACACAGACCAGGAGAAAGGCACTTCATTTCCTATCCCCAGGATACTAACCATTGCTCTGCACTCCCCCTTCCCTAAGTGCATCACCCCACCTCAAGCCACAGATTTTATAGCAGCCAGTTAGGTAAAATGACTCATGCTTCCCTGTTCTTCGTAGTAAATTAAAAAGCCAGCTTTTATTGTTGCTATCGATATTCTTTTTATTGTTGGCTTAGAGCAAAGAGCCAGGGAGACCAGGAACGGGCTCCTTCGGCACGTGGTCCGGTGCTCCGTCGCGCCTGGGCACCCCGGGAGGTTCAGAGGCAAGTTCTGCCTGTGTTTGCGAAGGGAAGGGGCAGCCTGGCGGTGCCAGGAGGTGGGCAGACCAGACTGCCAGATGGCAGGCTCCGGAGCCCGCCAAGAGCGGGTGGGGCAGGGACCAGGAGATCCTCAGGCTGCCCTGGACATTGTCCACGGACTCGTTCCAGGAGCTGCCACTCCAGCCACAGGGACTTCACAGGTAGCACCAGAGCCCTTCGAGGTGGCATAGAGCACCCCCTCCGCGGAGCTGGAGAAGGGGCCTGAGGCACAGGTAGACTATTTCCTCGCGGGGAGGGGGTGGTAGGCTGCAGAGGTCCTCAGTCTTGGTTGCTCACTAGGATCGTCCGAAATAAAAATATGAATGCTCAGGCTCTACTGTAGACCAACTGTACCAGAACCTCAGGGGAGAGGGCTCAACCTGGTATTTGCAAAACTCCCACTTCCCTTCCATACCTCCTGATGTGTAAGCATTTGTCCAAAGCAGAGCGCTTACTTTCAGAAAGATCATTGAAAACGTAAGATACGCGTCCATCTAGAATACATGACTGGGACAATGAAATCCTCACGAGAAACTCGTGGGGCAGAACAACGATACTTGTTCAAGATGGGAGCATGGAAGCTTCCCGCCGGGAGGTTCACTGAAGTCACAAAGCTAATAACGGCCCGGCTGAGATGACCCCTGACTCGTAGCTGGAAGCGACCTTGTAGAGCAGTATAAAACTTGTTATTTGAGTTTTAGAACAGCTGGTGAGAGCTGTAAGTAAAGTATTTTCAGGTAATGAAACAGGGATACAAAGAGGTTTACTGTGTTGCTATGGTTACCCAGCAAGCCAGTAGCAGAGCTGAAACCAGAACCTACGTTCGTTCCTTGACCCTTAGCCCAGTGCCCTTTCTACTGGGGATGCTACTGTCCCACTAACCCCTTGCTGACTTTCAAGCAAACACACCTATGGCAGTTCGTAAACAGAACGCGTCACCCTCCGCACCTGCCCAGGCGACACACACTGGGTCTTTATCTACGTGTCAATTTCCTCATTGTTCCTGAATGAACTTAGAACTGCCTTTGAAAGTGCCAGCCAGGGCAGAAGGTGACATCAGGACCTGGCGATAGCTCAGAGGTTAATGTGTCCCCTTCACGAACCAGCAGCTAAGGGCCCCGATACAAGTTAGACGGAGTTGACTCCAGGTGGCGGTTTTTCTGGGTGGCTGAGATTTATCAGGTTGCATAGAGGCCAGTGAATCTGTGAGCCCCAACTGAGATCTACGAAGGAAAGGCTCCCTTTTCTCCTCCTGAGTCCTGGCGGAGACATTCACAGGGACACAGGATGCCCGTGGTGTTTAGAACTGGAAAACGCCCAAAGACACACACAGCACAAGACCTACAATCTGTGCCTCATGAGAATTCACTAAAATCAGTGTTCGGATATTTAGGTAAAGAGTTGGGGAAAGAGCATTCCATTTAGAGGGGACAGAATTAAATAAGAGAAAGGCGTGACAATATGCAGGTCCTGTAATTATCTCATTTGGAGAAAAGAAGAAAACAAACAAAACAAAACCCAAAAAGCTTCCTAAAGGCATGAACGGATCATTTGTCTTGTATGTTTATGAGCATCAGATGTTAACACAATTGCTATTGTTTGATCCTTGCTAATGTTGCATTTCTGTGCATAATAACAGGAGTTAACTCAACGTTGTTTATTGATTTTAGAGAGACACACACAGAGAGAAATATCGATTTGTTGTTCCACTTATTCATGCATTCATTGGCTGCTTCTTTTATGTGCCCTGACTGGAGATCAAACCCACAACCTTGGCGTATTGGGACGATGCTCTAACCAACTGAGCTACCTGGCCAGGGCAGAGTTAACCCAACTGTACTCACTCAGAGTTAGAGAAGTAACAACCCAGAACACACAGACTCACAACATTTCTTCCTTGTAACAGTCAGAAAACACAGTCCTGGGTTATGACTATGAGGCAGCAATATGGACAATGCTTTTGACATCTTGTCAGATTAGAAAAACTCAGAACCTGCCCTGGCTGGTTTGGCTCACTGGTTAGAGCATCGGCCTTCAGACTGAAGGGTCTTGGGTTTGATTCTCAATCAAAGACACATACCTGGATTGCAGGTTTGATCCCCGAGGTCCTGGTTGGTGTCATGTGAGAGGCAACCAATTAACGTGTCTCTCTGACATCAATGTTTCTCTTCCTCTCCCTCTCTCCCTACCTCTTTTCCACTCTATCTAAAAATCAGTGTAAAAATATCTTTGGGTGAGAATTAAAAACAAAACAAAACTCAGAACCTATAGTGTATATGTACTATGACTGCAAAAATGTTAAATATATGGAGTTATGAGCGTGTACTCATGGGGGGAATAAAAGAATGGAAGGAAATTCGCCAAAAGGATGAAATTTCTAATAACGGTTCCTCTTTAAGTTTGTGACTTGTTCAAGGTAGCGGGGGTTCCCCGTGGCCTTTCTGTAAGTGCAGAAGATTCTGGAGGACGCGTCCCCTAGGGAAAGCGCATGGTGCAGAGGGGACCGGAATGGGACACGTCACAGGCCCTGGTTCGCCTTGACTTCTGGGCAATGCTATGAAGCCTTGGAGAACAAACTCCGTCTCTCCACCTGCTACCTGGACATTTAGTGATGGGAGTCCCAAGGACTGAGGTGAAGGGACCGTGTGCAGAAAGCTGAAGGGCCCGAGGACCGCCGGGCCCAGGCAGTTAACCGAAGGGAGTGACGGTAATTTTGACATAGATTCTCTGCTTCATAACAATTAAGACTCTCTTTGATGATCGCAAAAAAGATATTCCCCCATTTTTCTCGAAACGCATAAGCCTGTGGACTTATCTTTTGTTTTTCCACTTTATAGAAACGGGCATGGCAACTATGTCTCTTTCCTGTTAATTAAAAAAACACGCGTAATGGGCATGCTGCTGGCGCTCACGCAGTGAGGGGACAGGCAGGGAGGGGCGGCGGGGCTGGGATGGAATGAAGATTACATGTCCTCACTCAATGGCATGGCCTCTTTCATTCAAACCAGTTGTTTCCGTGGGGGGCATGTTGGCTTAGTGCGGAGAATTTTCCCAACTCCATTTCTAAACGAGAAGCCAGAAAGCTAGACTTATATGAAACCTCCTGATTTCTCAATACTGAATATTGGAAATGAACAAGAATTGTGTCTGCCCAACAAAACAGGAGTGAGGGTCACAGACAAGACCAAGGGCTGGCATTGGGGGAGACCCTCGGGGCTTATAGAGTCTTGTCTTTCACAGCCCAGAGCCCTGTGCCATCTTCCCCAACAGAGACCGCTCGCAATCCGCAGAGGAAAAGGAAGGGACTTACGATGGAGCTGCTGAAGGCGACAGGAGACTGTGTGTTTTCCCAGCGCCCCATGGACCTTTGTCGGGAGTGGCCCTGGATGGGCACCCGGGCACTCTGGCATCTCCTCAGAGGCTGGGCCCCTCCTTGGCTTTTCACTGCTGCTGAGCCTGGGACCCATCTGGCCGGGAAGGACAGGCACTGGTACTGGGTCCACTCTTCACTGTCGGAGTCCAGCTCCCTCGGGACCTCCAGTCGCTTGGCTGCAAGGAAGGAGTCTTGTTATTGCCGCCCTCGTGCCTGGGCGGGGCCGTGGCTGCGGAGATCCCCGACTTTGGGAGGGGAGGTAAGAACACACAGGGAGAACATGCTGCTGCTCTAGAAAACAGGGCGCTGGCTACTCTGACCGGAGCAAGGGGTGCCACCAAGTCACACGGGTGCAAATCCGGACTTGACTATCTCCCAGCTATGTGGCTTTGAGCTTTGGCTAAACATGCCTCTGTTTCTTCAGATAGGGCTTTTTTAAAGTACCAGACTCTGAGGGTTGTTTTGGAGGCTTAGAATACCTGATGTACTGATAATAGTAGCTGTTTTTGTTATTAAAAAGGACCCGAAGTTCCCATGTAGATGGCTACCATCGTGGCAAAGGGAATTGGGTTCCCTACAGTATCACCTCCTTTCTCTTTCTCCATCCCTCTCACACGAAGACATGAACGCTGCTCTCTTGAGAGTTTCTTTAGTTAAACTGTGTGTGTGTGTGTTGGGGGGGGAGGGGACAGAGCGGAGGGACCCAGGTCAGCTTTCTAGCCCGCCTTCAGTCCATGCAGGATGACAGTCGGGTACTTATAGCCATATGTCCTAAGCGGAAGCTTTGCCTCTGAACATCCTGAGATCGTGAGCATGGAAGGCGTTGCCCGGGTGTGTCGACTGATCATGCGCCTAGACCTGGGTCTGTCCTCTCAGGTAAGGTGACCCAAGAAATTCTTAAACGTTGGCACATAGTTGGGACATGTCCCCAGGCCGCTCCTGACAGGTAAAAACACTGTGTGCAGGACAAAGAGGGACTGGAGAGAGCACACAGGCGACCACTGAAACCCTTGGTGAACACAGGAGTTTACAGGTGACAAGAATAGCTCTGATCTGGGACCAGGGAGCCACAGAACACAGGAAGCTACTTTCTACAAGCCACGCAGCCTCTGTGGGGAGCCAGGAGGACGTCTTTTATCACCACCCTCTAGGACAGCAGGGTGAGTCTTTGTTTTTATTTTTATTTGTTTAAGAGAGAGAGAGAAATAGAAACATCGATGAGAGAGAAACATTGTCGGCTGCCTCCTGCATGCTCCCTGCACGCCCCCTGCTGGCTATTGAACCCGAAACCTGGGCATGTGCCCCGACTGGGAATCAAATTGGCGACCTCTCAGTACATGGGACAAGGCTCAATCATTCAAGCAACTGTGAGCCCCACTAGCTGGGTGGGGGATTCTTTTAGGAAGAAGGACAGGGGCTCCTGGGAGGCCTCGTACCGTTTTCTTGGTGAGAATACTCGCTGCCCATGATGGTGCAACGCCGGAACACCATCTTGTTCTCGGTCAGGGTCCCTGTCTTGTCAGAGAATATGTACTGGATCTGGCCCAGGTCCTCCGTGATGTTCAGGGCTCGACACTGGATGGCCAGATCGGTCTCTTCGTCGTACAGGTCGAGGTCGTTGTGCAGGAGGAAGACTTGCCCGAGCTTCACCAGCTCAATGGACACGTACAGGGAGATCGGGATCAGCACCTGCAAGAGACCGGTTCCCACTGAGTCAGAAACCAGGCCCCTGTCCCGGGACCCTCCCTGGGGGGTGCAAAGGCATTTCATGGAAAGCGGAGGTCGGCTCATGTGACGGACTTTCTGGGAGAAATGAAAGGTCCGTGTGTTCATGCCGCTCTTGAAATTTGCAGGGGAGCCGGAAGAAGAGCTTCTTTAAGCAGGGGTGAGGTATGAGGCAGGCACCCGCCACTCGTTGTTCAACGAGCGGGAAGCGGGTGAGGAGCTGTCCTGGCTCTGCCCCAAGTCCCCTGACTGCCCTTGGATCTGGGTGCCACCGAGGGCGGCTCCCACTTTTACGGGTATTCAGACCCCTCATTGATTACTGGCCACTGATTCAATACCCAACATCTGCTCAGCTCTGTGTGTGTCATGTACTATTCTAGGTCCTGGACATGGCAGTGAGCAGAACAAAGTCCCTGGCGGTGAAGACCTGAAATCCCAACAGACAAATAAATATGCACTGGGTGGCGGTGTGTCTCATGTGGAAAAAGTAAAGAGGCCCTGAGCAGTGGTTAGAGCGTCAGCCTGAGGATCGAAGAGTTCTGGGCTCGATTTGATTCCCCGTCAAGGGCATGTACCGGGGTTGCAGGGTCGATCTCCGGCCCCTGTCCGGGTTGTGTGGGAGGCAACCAATCGATGTCTCTCTCACACGGATGTTCCTCTCTCTCTCCCTCCCTCCCTTCCACTCTATCTAAAAATCAATGGAACAATATCCTCAGGTGAGGATTAAAAAAAAAAAAAGAACGAGTAAAGAGAGCAAAGGGTAATGGCTGGAGGTGACTGTTTTTTCAACCATGACCTTTGAGCAGACACCTGAAGATGAGGGTGTGTGGTGAGGTTCTCTGGGGGAGGAGGAGCATTCCGGTCAACGCTGGGCAGTGGGAGTGGCCGCGTGTTTGGAGGGGACAGTAAGTCTGTGAGTGACCAGGAATGGGGGAGTCCGGGTCCAGGTCACTCAGGGCTCGTTGATGCAGTGAGGGCTTTGGATTCCACTTGGTGAACCCATCGGAGGGTCTGTGCAAGCAGGGTGTGTCCTGATTCACACTGTAGAAGGGCTGCTCTCCTAAATGAATGAATGAACTAATGATTCAAGAAAGCTCACCAGTACGAGGACAATGAAACACCCTCAAGCAGTATCAGAAATTGAAGGTAGATGAAGCTGCATCATGGTTTCATTTAATTTTTTTATAGAGCCTGTGGCTTTTGTTTCTCCTTTTTGCACGCTCTGGGTTTTGGGTTTTTTTCCTCCTTATAGACTCAGTTCTTTTTTTATTAAAAAAAAATCTCGCCCTGGCCGGTTTGGCTCAGTGGTTAGAGCGTCGGCCTGCGGTCCAGAGAGACCCGGGTTCGGTTCCCACTAGGGGCACGTACCTCAGTTGCAGTTTGTCCCCGGCCCTGGTTGGTCGTGTGGGTGGCAGCCACTCGATGGGTTCCTTTCACATTGATGTTTCTCTCTCTCTCTCTCTGCTCCTCTCTCTCCCTCCCACTCTACCTGAACAAAAAATGGAAAAAATGTCCTCGGGTGAGGATAAAAAAAAAAAAAATCTCAACCTACCCAATGCTAAAACGCTAACCCGTGGTTTCTGACTCTCAGCGCTTAGGGCTTGATGGTTCTTTGTGCTGCTTTATCTTTTCCTTCCCAGGTCATTAGGTTTCACCTGCTCAATCTCTGGCAAAGGGCCAGGCACACATGGGTCACTGCTGTCCTCTTACTCTTCTAGAGAAAAGCCTAATGCATCTTTTTCTCCACGAGCCTCTGGGGCAGGGTCCCCTCACAAAGCAGGGCTGGTCTTGACATGACCCCCAATGTGACTACTTTCAAAGACCCACAGGAAAGCAATGCAAACTTCCCCACCTCAGCCCAGTCAGCTCTTTCTTGGGGCTCGCACTGATTTTTATTTCACAGAGCTGCACAGGTATTGCCACAGGCTTTCTCGACCCTCAGTTAGAGTGGACGTCCTACCTGGAGCAGGATAATCATGGTGAGGAACATGTAGAAGCCCCCGAGCGCCAGGGGGAGGAAGCTGCCCTTGGCGTCTGGCACATCGAAGGGAGGGTGCTCTCTAAAGGTCCCGTTCCAGAGGCTGTGACCTGCGGGAGGCAAAGCCAGGATGAGACAGAATCTCCACTTAGTCCTGAGGTTGGTCAGTCACATCTTCCCTTGACCTGTTCCTGGAAATGAGCGTGCTGTGGAGGAATCCACCCTTCTTCTAGAAAATAAAGCCGTGTGTGTGTTCCTTTAGCTCTAAAGTGGTCCTTCGTACAGCCTCCATGTCAGTCTCTCGAGAGGCATTAAGTTTGTTCTAACAGAGGAGACTCCTATGGGGATTACTTACTTATTGATGAAATTCTGTTGAATGGGGTTGGAAAGAGAGAATGGTACACAAGTTCTTCTCAGTTGTGTGGTGGAAAGTGCATGGCTGAGGAGTTTTGACAAACCTTTATGCCAGCCCGTCTTTTCCCCATGCACATACTCACCAACCTAGCTACCCATCCATTCATTCTTCTCTCCATCCATCCATCCATCCATCCATCCATCCATCCATCTCGTCATCCGTAGCTCTGTTCACCTGCTCTTCCCTGACTCCTTTCCTCCCTCTCTCAGCCTGACATTTATTAATTCAAGAACAAATTGGTCCTAGTTCTTGTCCTTGAGGAATTCCCTACCGAGTCAGGGAGCCAGATGTAAACAGACAAACCCCTACCATGTGAGAGGTGCTTTGCAGAGCCTGAAATGTTGTGAGAGCCCACAGTGACAGCCCCTGAGGCAGACTGAACCCTCTGCCTCCTTCTGCACAGGGGGACAAGAACACCCATCGCCCCAGGATTAATAACATGAAGTGCACCCAGCATCTGCTTCTGAGCTCTCTGCGCCTCAGCATCCTCACCTGTCAGTCAGCAATAGTTCCTCTCCACAGGGTTATTGTGAGAACAGCATAACCTTGTGTGTGTAATGCTCTCAGCTCTAGGGTAGGAGCTGGAGGGACTAAAAGACATAGAGAGAGTTGCCCTGTCCCCAAGATGCTTCTTTGCCCAGGAGGTTGGGCCAATGCCATTATCCATGGCAGGAGAAAGGAGACTTCTAGGCATGAGGTTAGAGGTCAATACATGGTCAGAATAGGAGCCACTGGCCTTTAGAGGAACCAGAGACTCTGGAAGAAGCCAGAGAAGGCTGCATAGTGGAGGGGGCATTGGGGGGTCCTGGAGCCGGGGTGGGTGGGGGATGATGAGAAAGGCCTGGGAGGGCACTCTGGGCAAAGGAACAGGAGACACCACCTTCACACAATCAAAGTAAACATGAGCTAAAGAATCCTGAATGAGTTCACTAAGAGCTTTTGTCTCCTGGGGGTGGGGGGGTGGGGGCATCGCTGTACATGAGTCATTATTCTCAGAAAGAATAGAATTCTGCCCCTCCCATCACTTTCCCAATTTATTTATCATCTGGGCAATCTGCCAAGCGGATTCTGGCTGCCTGTACCTTATCTCACTGTGTGACCTTTTAATCATTAACTTCCTTTCTCTGAAGACAGTGGGATGATCTCCAATGTCCTTTCCAGTTTTGACATCCCTTAAAAAACCTGTCCCGAAGCAGAGGCAGTGAGCAGTTCCTGCAGCTCCGAATGCAGGGCGGTGGCCACCTGGACGGTTCGCTTGTCTGCGTTCCTCCTCTCCAGGGCTCTGCTCCAGCCCCAGGCTCTCGCGCAGGGACTGCCCCTAGAGACACCTGGGAAGTGTGTTCATTAAGGCTCCAGGCCACCCAGAAGACTTAATCCCACCATCTTCACCAAGGCGGCACACAAAATCTCTCTGGGCCCTTGGAAGGTCTTGGCCTTTTAGACACCTTTAAAGACAGATGGGTACGATTTCTTTCTTTCCTTTTTTTTTGCTTATAAAACCAGGTATTTATTTCTCATAGTTCGGAGGCTGGACGTCTGAGACCAGGGTGCCAGCATGGCTGGGTCCCAGTGCCAGGTGTTAGCTCTAACTTCCATATGACTGCCCCAAGCCTCTTCAGTCTTTTACTTTCATGTTGATGCCCCCAGCCTCTGATCCTTTAACCTTGCCCTGAGCCTCTCATTTCAGGAAACCAAAACCCCTCACTCCAGTCAGGCTGAACGGAATGACGGAACCTAACCCACCCAAAACTTCGAACAGTCGCTCAACAACAACAACAAAAAAACAAGTTTCAGGAGACCCCAGCCCCTGACCAATCAAGAACTCAGGCCCGACCAATCAAAGACGACCACGTCTCCTCGGTTGAGATACCACCGCCCCCCAGCCCTAAATTTAAAAATCCCTAGTCTGTACGAGCGGGTTGCGACTCTCTCCTTAGAGGTAGTCCGGCAGCCTGATTCCCAATACACCTCTCTTCTGGAGACTCTGCACCGCCTCGTTCCGCCTCGTTCTTACAACAGGTGACTGTTTTCTGTGTCCTCACAAGGCCGAAAGACAGTGAGGGGTACGATTTCTGACGAAGGCAACTAAAGACCCAGCATCACTGTTGCTCCCTGGTGTGGGGGCTGGCGGGCCTCTGGACTGAGCACCTCTGCCCTTCCTCGTGATCTTCCTGCCTCTTTTTGGGGTTTCCTTTAGGGTCTGGAGAACCACCTTTAGAGATAAGCCATGGAGGGGGAGAGTGGGGAGGAGGGTCCCTCTGTGCACCCTGAGGATCGACTTCCGTGGCTCCGATCACTCGTGTCTGTGGCTCCGTAGCGCTCCACACTCGGCAGCTGCGGAACTCGGCCACGGGCAGGTTCTAATCAGGCCTCCATTCCTGCCTGGCTCCCCCACACCAAACAGCCAAATGCTCCGCCCAAAACAGACTCTCTTTTCCCCTCTGTGCTTTGCTTCAGCTGTCCCTGGGCTAAGAGTGACCTCTCTTTCTTTCCATATCTGCCCACCCCATCCTGCCCCTGCCACCTACCTTCCTTCTGCACTTGAGAATGCCCGCTGCACTTGAGAATCAGCTCTAGTGCTCCCCCATGCTCCCGTGAGACCTGTAGTAGGGTGAACAATGCCCCCTAAGATGTCCACACCCTAACTCCTGGGGCCTATGGATATGCCATCTTAAATGGCAAAAGGACCTGCACAAGTGAGATTGACTGAGGACCTTGAGATGGGGAGAGAATCTTGGGTCATCTGGTAGACCCAATGATGTCCTTATAAACGGGAGGCAGAGGGAGAAAAAAACGTGAGAGTAGCATGTGACTGTTGGGAGTGTATTATCGGAGTAATGCACACTGGAAACGGAGGGAGGAGCCATAAACCCAGGAATACAGGTGGCCACTGGGCGCTGAAAAGACGAGGGACAGATTGTCACCTCAGAGCCCCCAGAAGGGGCCAGCCCTGCTGACACCTTGATCTTACTACAGTGATACTGACTTTGGACTTCTGAACCCTCAAGCGAACAGAATAGAATGTGTTTTAAACCAACACATTTGTGTTAACATTTCACGAGCTCCGGACGTGGTCCACGTGCTGGCTCCTTCCGGGGGACGGGGACCTCGGCTCCCTCCTCTTGTTCCCCGCTCACGCTCAGACTGCCTGGCGTCTGTAGTATTATTTCTTGGACAAATAAGCGATAGATGATATTCCTAATATTTCAAGTAATTAATACTTTCAGATTTCCCCATGCATTTTTAGTTCATTGGCATCCTGTGATAATACAGGGGAGGCTTTATTTATTTATTCATTTATTTTTTCATCCTCACCCGAGGACATTTTTGCATTTATCTTCAGATAGAGCAGGACGGAGAGAGGGGGGAAAAGAGAGAGAGAAACATCAATGTGAGAGAGACACATCGACTGGTTGCCACCCACACGACCCCAACGAGGGCTGAGGACAAACTGCAACTGAGGTTAGTGGGAACTGAACCCAGGACTCTCTGGTCCGCGGATGGACGCTCTAACCGCTGAGCCAAACCGGCCAGGGCAGGAGGCTTTATTTTTTATGAACTATTTGATAGATGACAAAACTGAGGCTCAGAGAGTTGAAGCTGCTTGCCCAGAGAAAAAGATTACTGTGGCGTGGTGTATTGTCCTTTCCAGAACATTCCATACCTACAGCTCCGATGAGGCACATGAGGAAGAGGAGCCCGATGCAGAAGAAGATGTCCGTGTTCATGCGGCGCTCGATCTTGCTGCGTTTGTACCGCGGGCCGCTGTTGTTCAGCAAGGCTTTGGTCTCGTGGCCTTTGAGCGAAAACGAGGTTGTCAGTCCCTCACCCCCGTGTGCCTCCGGCCTGGGTCACAGCCCCGGCTCTGCGCACAGGCGCCCACAGTCACAGAGGCTTCCTCCCCTCACCGGGCTCTGTCCTGCCTCAGGGAGGGTGCTGTGAGCAGGTGGAGAGTACCACACAGCCGGTCGGCAGGGATTTACTGAGCATCCCGACATGCCAGCCGCTGGTGGGCACTGGCACAAATCTAGAGGTACCCCTCGGTTTGTAGTTGTCATAGATGGTAAGGTTACTATGACACATTCTGGCAAATGGCAGTAAGCTGCTTGAGGAGGGACTATCTCTCTCTAATACACACAAAGGCGCCGTTATGGGCGAGGGGTGGTACGTCCTGCTAAGACACACGACTCAGCGTCTGGGGAAGATACACAAGGAAATAAATACAATAACTGCGGCTAGTAATGAGCCCCATGAAGGGAACAATAAACAATAGGCTAATACGGAAGAGATGGTTTGAGAAAGCATAATCAGGGAAGGCTTCCCAGAAGAGGTGACACTTAAGGAAGACTTGAAGGGACAGAGAAGAGTTGGGAGAAGAGGGTTTTAGGCTGGGGAACAGTAGGTGCCAAGGCCCTGGGGCAGGACACTGCATGGGGCCAGTAACTTTCACACTTGTCTCTTTGTCTAAGGTGTTGGTGTTGCTTGGGCAAGACAGTTTTGTTCACAGAAAGGACAACAAAATATGAAAACTACTAATCTCATCCAATCACTCCTTTTTCTAGTTGGAGAAAAGTAGAAGGGTCTGCCTGAGAAGAAAGCCTAAATTAACGGCAGAGCCACATCGAGAACCCCGATTCTGATCTCTGGCCCGTTTCTCCTTCCAGCAGCCCCAGGGACCAAGCAGCACAGCGAATGGCTCAGAGTCAAACTGAGACTCTATCTTTAGACCGAGCCTGTCCCTTTGAGGCTCTGACTCTTAACTACCATGCTGTCTGTCCTCCTTAGCAGTCAAATGAAAAACACCAACCACATATTTTCTGTGCAGAATTAAAGAAAACTGATCTATCAGCTCCAGCAGTGAAGGAGTTCGGTGCTGTTTAGCTGGTTACCCTGTGGATTTAAAGCGGCAACAAAGCAGTAGGAGTAGCGAACTCGCGGCTTATTAGATTAGACTCCAGTCACTGCAGTCGTGAGGGGGTTTGCACAGCACCGTGAGCATGGGGTGCCTTCTGGCCTGCTGCAGGGCCACCCCATTCAAGGGGTCCCCGACCACCCTCTTCAACCACCTGCGCCTCACCTTTGAGATCCCTCTGTTCTTTGGACAGGAGTTGGACTCAAGGGGGAGGCAGGATGGTGTAGCAGTCAGAACATGGGTCTAGATTCAGAGCTAGACTCTGCAGATACTTGACCTTAGGTTACGTGGAATTAATACCAGGAGACAAAGTGACCTTGAGTGAATGAATCCCTTTGTACCTCAATTCCATGTCTGCAATATGGGAGATAATGGTCGTATGTGTGTTTGGGGCAGGGGAGTGGATTGATATACACCAAGTACCTAAATGCATTCCTTGTACACAGGAGGGGCACACGCCTCCACCCTGGATCTCTGCCTCTGGGAAGCTCAGCTTGGCTTTTTTGGGCCTCCGACATAGAGGTGCCCCTAGTCTGTCTACCCGTATTTTCCAGGGAGAGACCCAACACCAGTCGTTCTCAACCAGAAGGATTTTATTCCCTAGAAAACACCTGGCGATGGCTTGAGAAATTGGGGTTGTCACATCTTGAGAAGGTGGTGCTAATGGCATCCAGCCGGTGGAGGCCAGGGATGCCGCTCAACACCCTACAAGGCAGCCCCTACCGCAAAGAACAGCCTGGGCCCGTATGCCAGTCATGCCCAGGTTGAGCACTCCCTCTAGGTAATAACCCTGAAAACAAAGAGTACCCCTTTTGCTCACACTTTTTGAGAGCCTAAGAGGTGCCGGGCATTGTGCTAACCCCTTCCACAGGTCATTGCATTTGGACCTTATAACCTACCAGGTGGGACCTCCTAGTGCCCTGGGTTGAAAGCTTAGCCAACTAGCACAGGAATATGCAACCGTGAGTAGATTTCACCCCAGGGAGCCTGATCCCCCCAAAGCCACAATGAGCTGTCTCTCCAAGACTGTCCCCTCATATTCCACTCCCAGCACCCACACAGAGTTTCTGATCACTCGGCTAAGCAAACTCTCAGCCCTTGTGGGTTTTCTTGGTGGGACAGGGGTTGCTGCCGAGTTCAGATTTAGTGGGTGTACCAGGTGGCCCTGAACGCCATTACCAAACACCCGTAAACGCAGTCACCTGAACTGACAAATGCAACCCTCCCTCCCCCAATTTAGGGAAAGCTAGCTAGATTGTGACATGATTTGTTTAAACACCTGTTTTTCTTTGACAGGTGAATCCTAGGGTCGATTGATGTTTAAAATGGTCTTCCACGTCCACCAAAGTGGGGTTCTACTCAGACCAAAACAAATCCAACAAAACAACAAGCAAACAAAATACTGGAGGCGTCCCAGTGAATGGAAGACCCAGAGGAATGTATTCTGCAGTCTTCCCATGAAAGTAGACATCTCAGGTTTCTCTGTCTCTCTCACAGAGGAGAGTGTGCAACTGTCCACACAACAGGTGTCTATTGAGAACCTGTGGAGCACCAGGTTGTAGGGAGCAGGGGTAGAGTAGTCTTAAGACTGCCCTCTAAGACATTAGATTTCATCGTAACAAGTGTTGCTATTTTTTTTTTTTTAATTGAAAAGTGAAATTGCAGTGGCAAGGACAAACAGACCACCATAACTGTAGCCATAAAATGAATAGAGAAAATAAAAACTTAACCACAAAAACAGCACAATGAAAACCCATCATGCCCTGGCATCCTAGATACAGTGCTTTTCACGTGATGGGTCATTTGATCCTCACGAGTACTTATGAGGCAGATATAAATATTTCCCCCATTGTATAGATGAAAAAACCGAGGCACGGAAGGTGAAGTTACTAAGTTTGGCAAAGTTATTCCTCAGGCTCAGTAGGATACAGTCCGTCTTGCCCTGGCCGGTTTGGCTCAGCGGTTAGAGCGTCAGCCTGTGGTCCCGAGAGACCCGGGTTCGGTTCCCGCTAAGGGCATGTACCTCGGTTGCAGTTTGTCCCCAGCCCTGGTTGGTCATGCGGGTGGCAACCACTCGATGTGTCCCTTTCATGTCGACGTTTCTCTCTCTCCCTCCCACTCTATCTGAACAAAAAGTGGAAAAATGTCCTCAGGTGGGGATAAAAAAAATAAAAAAAAGATACAGTTCGTCCTGCCTATAGTCAGGGTCGCAAAACCATTGGAGGGGAACGAGCAGGAATCTCCCTCTCTGTCTTGTTCAGCTGAGGGACAGTAACTTGGAATCTAATTATGTCTCCTGTGGACCGAGTGAGCAGCTGTGAGTCCAGCCTCAGTTTGCTTGGCTGAGAAATGGGAAGTTACGGGACTCGACCCCTTAGAACTGATGTGAGTTTCCCCTGACTGGAGATGGATTTGCAGGAGGGGACGGAGGAGGGAAGATAAAGGGAAGGGACAAAGGAACCTGTCCAGGGACAATGACCTGTGTAGATGACAATGCCAACAGCCACCTCGGTGTTTCTGATGGTGCAGCCTCGAAGCAGGAGACTCTCACTGCCAACGCCGGTCCTGGTCTGGTCAGGATGCTCCCTGGGACGAGGAAAGACAGGCAGTGGTTTGGTGGCCAGCTGGCCAGCTGGACTCTCGGGCTCGCCTAGGAGGCCTGGGCAGGCAGGGAAAGATGTCCCCAGGGGCAGCAGCCAAGAAGAGGCCGTGCTTGGGGTTCAGTGAAGATGGGGAAGTTCTGAGATGGGGGACAGAGCCCAGGTTGAAAGCTCAGGAAGGCTGGCTGCCAGCACACGCTGTTTGGGCAGAAAAGAAACCCAGCGAGGAGAGGAAGGAGAATGACTCCAGCCACGATGACTGGATGGACCAGATCCACAAACCTCAGGCACAAGGGTGGACTCCTTGCTGGGGGCCAAGTGGCAAGCTGTGCTTTGCCAGACACCTGCAATGACTCCTCCTCCAGTTCATGCCCTTCTCTGCCTCCATCTGCTCTCTGCATTTATCACGTCCTTGGGGCTTCAAAGCTGGTGTTTCTCTTGTACTGTCTGAGCCTTTCCCCCCTTACATTGCTCCTTAGGACGTCCCACCCAGCCTGGGGAATGTGGACAGAGGGAAAGCATGGGCACCCGCCTTCCAGGGAGCTGAGCTTCGCTCCAGGACTGGCAGACAAGTCGCCACGACAAGGCTGAGCCCTGGGCTGCGTGGCCAGACGTGGGAACACACCGGAGGTGGAAAGACCCGGCTTGAAGGCCCGGCTCTGTCTAAACCTGCTGTGCACCTTTGGGTGAATCTTGAAAAGTCTTGAAAATCTTCAGATTCTCTATCTGAAAACGAAATTGTTTACCTTCTGGGTTGTTATGCAGATCGAAAGATGATGTTCTGTGAAATGACTCTAAAGACCGTTAGCCCCATACGAGGGCATTTATTCATATCTGCCCCCCCCCTCCTTTTTTAGTAAGACCAGAAGTCTGATGTGGGAGCAGAATTACAGTAAAATTCTCAGGCTGAACAAAGCTGAGGATTAAGAAGAACAATAATTGCTACGGCACAGTTCTCATGAACTGAATTAACCGAATATTTACTCTGTGCCAGTTGCTGTGCTAAGGGCTGTGCATTCGATAAGCAACGTTATTCTGTGAAAAGAAAAATCCTATGATGTAGATATTATAATCTTTATTTTACAGATGTGGAAACTAAGGCCCAGAGACGTTCATTAATTTACCCGAGGTCACACAGCTTTGTCCGTGATAGAATCTGGTTTCAGATGTAGGTCTGTCAAACCCCAAAGCCCTTGTTCTTACCCACAATGCCATGCAGGCTCTTCCAGAAAACCGATCTCAGTGAAATCAAACCTGCCTCTCCTGAATCAGAGCGTGGTCTGGATTCTGATGCTAGCTCGCCAGAGTTCTAAGAAACGACATTAGTGACCCGAACCCCGCGAGATCATCATTAACCGTCACTCCAGCCAAAAAACAAAACAAAACAAAACCAAACAGAATCGGAAAACTTTCCCAACTTAGGTTTCTTGAGCTCTCCTTTGTGATAAAAAAGAAAGAAATGTCCTCAGGACCCAAATGCTTATCTGTTGGGCCGTTTTAAGGAAACTGTTTTCTCGCCACAAAGGAGATATTTCCTAGCAGCACGTGGGCATGAGATACTTACATGTAACCCTTAAATTTGCTGAGGTGGTTGTTGGGTTTCTCACACACGATGGTGTTGTGGAAGCGTTCGGGTTCGAATCGTGCGTCCTGTGAGAGAGAAGACGTCACAAAGTTATTAAGAGGGATCTGGTGTTAACAGGATCATTGGGGAGCTCGTCACTGTTAGAACCACTGCGAGTAAGGTAACCCCTGCTCTGTCGCACTGTGATAGTTGCTATGTACTGGAAGAAAAAGTTAAGTCCCCATGGAGGAAGAGACAGCAGATGCAAATAAAACTTGGACACGCAGCAGAAACGAGTTGGACAACTGCATTTCTCTGTCCTGTGTCTTGTTTAGTAGCATCTTTGGCCTCAACCCACTAGATGCCTGAGCCCCCTCCCTGGTTGTGACGACGAGAAATGCCAGGGGTGAGACCAACCCTGTCCAGCAGACCCTCCTGCAGTGGTGGGGTGTCCTGTTCTGTAGCGTCCAGTACAGAGGCCAGGTGTCGCAGGTGGCTCCTGGAATGTGGTAGGATGACTAAGGGACTGATTTTTACATTTCATTTAAGTTTAATTATTTAAAGTTAAATAGCTACATGTGGCTAGTGGCTACCATACTGGGCAGCACAGAAATAGATAATCAAAAAGAAGAGATCAGCCTGGCTGGTGTGGCTAAGTGACTGAGCATGGACCCATGCACCAAGAGGTCGCCGGTTCGATTCCCGGCCAGGGCACATGCCTGGGTTGTGGGCCAGATCCCCAGTGGGGGGCGTGCAGGAGGCAGCCAATCAATATTCTCTCTCATCCATGTTTCTGTCTCTCTCTCCTTCTCCCTTCATCCCTAAAATCAATAAAGAAAATAATTTGTTTTTTTTTTTAAAAAAAAGAGATCATATGTCATGCCATTTAGGGATAGCCACAGTTAACGTTCTTGTGTATAGAATATCCCCAGGTATATACACACACACATTTATGTATGGACACACATATACAGTGTGCATTTCAAAATGGAGATTTAGTGTTCACATGCTTGAACGCTTTTATGCCTTATTAAATTTTCTACATCTTTATTAATATCTGCTTAGACACCTACTGTCCACATGTCACCATACTTCATTATTTCACTACTGAAGATTTACATTGCTTTTATTTTTGTTAATTCTCATCTGAGGATATTTTCCCATTGATTTTTAGAGAGAGTGAAAGGGAGGGAGGGAAGGAGAGAGAGAGGGATATTGATGTGCAAGAGACACATCGATTGGTTGCTTCCCACACGACCCCTAACGGGGGCCTGGGATTGAACCTGCAACCCAGGTACGTGCCCTTGACTGGGGATCAAACCCGTGACCCTTCGGTCAGAGGGCCTATGCTCTAACCGCTGAACCACACCAGCCAGGGCAAGGTTTACACTGTTTCAGTTTCTTTTCCTATTGTAAAAATTCTGTGAAAATAGTTGCTAATGAAACAAAATACAGAGCCTTTCTGCCACATACTGTGATGAAACTTTGCAAGTGTTGTTTATTTCCAAACTTACAATTACTCTGCGAAGTGGGAATTGGAGTGATCCCCTCTGGAGAGCTGGACACTGTAGCTCAGAAGGGGTCAGTGGCTGCCCAAGGCCAAGCTGGGACTGAGTGCGGGTCTGACCGCAGACCCCTGTGCTGCTCACATGGCGACTGGCCTGGTGGACACTCTCGGAGCCAAGCACCTGAAACACTCCCTTGACTTTCTCCACGTTAGGTATTGCAGTTGCATAATCTTTTATAGCCGCGTGGGGTGGGGGTGGGGTGGGGATACAACTAGGAGTGGGGAAAGCTTGCTTTCTAATTCTACACCACACTGGCTACTACTGCGTTCAGCTCCCGGGCCTCAGGTTCCTCGTGTGCAGAATGGGACCAGGGCCGCCTCCGATGTGCACCTGTCCGGGCCCCAGGAGACAGGTCCCTGGGGAGCTGTCAGCGCTCAGCACGCAGGAAGGAGCGCAGGAGGCGGGTGCAGACTCTTTCCTCGGCAGAGCGCTTAGCCCGGGGAGTGGATTTACGACGGAAGGCTCCAAGGTACAGCTGTTCAAAGGGGCACATTGATTAGAAGAAATGACAGCATTTTCTGGCTTCGTGTAAATATACTGTCCGTTGGGTCTGCAGGGGCACTGGCATAAATAAACTCTTCAGTCAGTTGAAATAAATTACCCATCCAGGAGTTACTAAAAATAAGGCCCTTTTCCCTCCGGGTATCGATTCGTTCAGGGACAGACACTTTCCGAGTTGAGGTGATGTCAGATCGTGCTGTAATCTGTCGGCCGTGTTCTGCTGCGTTCGTGCCCTGATGAAGCCGTGTGCTCCACCCCCGACCCGTGCCCCTCGGCTCATGCTGGTGTTCTAGATCCACACTCATTTCAGAGACGAGTGGCTGCAGGGTCTGAGAGCTAATGACCCTGCTGCAGGGAGTCCCTGTTGTCTGCTAATGGGACCAGGCAGATCCCCGGCAATGGCCAAGTTCCCCTCTCTTGTCCCTCTGAGGGGCTTCCCAGTGACCTTCCTCCTGCAGTGCCCCTTGCTTTGCTCTGCTTCTGGGCATTGGCCGTGGGTCCTCTGTCTGCCTCCCTCTCCTCATGGAGAAGTGAACTTGCCCTTTCTAGCTACCTTCCCTTTCTAGGCACCTTCCTTTCCTCCCCAAGATGGGCTATGGAGAGGGGTCGGTGGGCCCTGCTGTCTCCAAAGTCAACTCCTCAGGCTCTGCTCTTGCTTTGAAGGTTTGGCTGACTCTCACTCCCCTGGGAACTGGGAGGAGAGACCGAGGACAGGAAGGCATTGACATGCCTTCCCCATCTGCCAGGTCCTTCGTTTAATCAGGAGTTCTGACCTCTCTGCTTCTCTTAGCTTGTGGATGAAGCCCACCTAAGCAACTTCTCTTTCTCCCCAGCCTTCTATCTGAGGCACTGTCCCTAACAGGAACGTGGCCTGGGAGCCATCAGTCAGGGTCCAGGAAAAGACAACCCCTTTCCAGCAAGGACAGTGCACACCCTGCATTCTTCGGGCCAAGCCCACCTGAGCTCTTACCACTTCCTATGTGCCAGGCACCTGTCGAGAAGTCCTCACAATAACTTTAAGACGTTCTGACAGATGTGCAAACGGAGACCGAACCGAGGCCATTGTTTTGCGGTTGGTAAGTAACAGCCAGGACTTCAATTCATATGACTGGAACCCAAAGCCAGTCATGATCATCCTCACTGTCTCATCATTGTGTTATTCCTCCTCCTCCTCCTTCTGGTTATTATGATTACCACTATTGTGATTATTATTGCTGTAGCATTTACTGAGTGCTTATTTTGTGCCAAGAACCAACTAAGTATTTCATACATGCTATTGTCTTTAATTCTCCAACAAGGGCCTGGCTAGTCCCCCACTCATTCGTTCATGCCTTCAAGCATTTACTGAATGTCCACACTATCTGAACCCGAGTGAGGGAGAATTAGAAGAGGTGATTCACACAAATCAATTATGGCAACTCTAACACCACTCAGAGTTCCTAGTTCAGCTCAGGCGTATCAATAGTAGTATCTATGAAAGCCAAGGAAAATCAGCCAAGGTCAAGGGTTGGTGAGTAATGACTCTCCAGGTTAAGGTACTCCTCACTGACCTGCGGCCCAGATGCAGCCAGCTGCACCCTCCCAGGCCCACCGGGAAGTCCAAGGTGAAGCAAACAGCCCGAAGCAGATAGGCTCAACTTTCACTGTTCTAGGCTTGGTTTCCACTGTTCACAGCTGAGTCTCGCGTTGGTCTGTATATACGGTTACACAAGGGCATCAAGTATGAATGCTCTTCTGAAATTCTTCGTGGTAGATCATTGTTTGCTCACAGTTCATTCTACTCTTCTTTCAGTAAAACACTTTTGGGAAACTAGCTCCCCTTCCTGGTTTCTAAATCTTTAGGGGAATATAAATCAAGATGCCCTGCCCACTAGATTACCCCACTGTGGGACTTTGACTTGAGTGGAATGACTCAAGAAGGAAAAAACAAATGAGACCGTTAAGTAATTGCTGCAACCAGTCTCTCCCACTGCATTGTTTCCTGGTTCTTGTTTCTGAGCCTGGGTGCTCAGATTTCTCTTGATTCTGTGAGCTATACTGTGTGCTGCTTCCTTTCTACCCCAGCTCCCTCACGTGTTTGCAATACTTCTGTTTTGCTGAAGTTAGATCATTTCTGTTGCTTGCAGATCGAGAATCCTAATCAACACAGTGGCCTACTCAGTTGCATGGGCATATCTGGGCCTTTAAAAACAAGGATGTTCATTAATCTGGTAAAACTGCAGTTCAGAAAATGCTGTCTCTTATTTATTTGCTCTTATTTGATATTCCCAACTCTCCTGCGACATGTTCAGGACAGGTTATCCCGTTTTATTGGAGAGAAAAATGGAACGTTGACGACACTAAGTAATTAACAAGGTCACACGGCTCATGAACACGCAGGTTTGTCTGATTCTAAAATGTGCACTCTTCTTTGCTTGGTGTAACTATTGAACGCCGGGCAAACCCTCTGGGCCCTTTTCATGATTTCTTTGCAAGTTTCCCATATTGACAATTCTCTTAAGCTCTCATAGCCGAGCTCAAGAGTTCCATCTCTTACGGGCCCATCGGTCCACCAGAGACCATTGCAGTATCTTCTTCCTATGAATGCAGACAATTCTTAAATAGCTATACCACTCACTTTGAACTTGTCTTACACTTTTCAGTGTCAAGTACCAAGCTGTTTCACAAGCCCACTGGTGGTTAAGCATTGCATCTGGTCCACAAATTCCTATGTGCACCAAAATGTCAGCTGTAGGCAGAGTAGAAATGAGTTTCACATATATGTGGTTTTCCAATTTTTTTTATAGGAATTCTTGAAATCAGTAAATTCAAATCCATTTTTAAAAGTCATCAAATTCATAGGAACTTTGTGTATTATTTCCGTAAATAATGGACTCTGAAAGGACAACTACTTTCAGGGAGGAGAGCTTGGAGTGGGGGAGTTACGGTTATCAAAAATGTTTTGATAGTCACAAGGGTTTTTTTTTTTAATTTTTTTTTTTTTATCCTCACCCGAGGACATTTTTTTCCATTTTTTG